TAAGGTCAGAATGTTTTAAAATATACCCAGGGTTTTGTTTTTATTCAAGTATGTCAGGAGATGGTTGCTATTGAAAGGATAGTTGGTTACTCACAGTTTCCAAGAGGAGGGGTGCATGCCACATCATGCCACACTGGGGCCATGCAGTGAAGCACCTGAATTGATCAGAAGTCAGAAGGAGCAAGGGGAAAAGCATGGGCATAAGGCTTTTGTTGTGGTTTCTATGGGAAAAGCAAGGCAAGGCAGGGTAAGTAGAGTTAGGATTGGCTAGTTTCAATAATTTTGGTGGGCTCTGGGCTGTAGAGGCTATCTCTAGTTATTTGGTACCTGGCCCTGGGATGATTAGGGCAGGGGATCGTGGCTCAGTCTGATAAATGAAGTGATTGAGGGTATGGGCCCTAGATTGATTGGTTTGCGTTTGAAGAGTGTTTGCTATTTCGTGGAGTTCACGAGCCCTGGGAGGGGCAGACTCTACAGAATCAGCAATGTGCCAGATGCCAGAGCATCAAGAATACATAAAATGGGAAAATATGGTTAGTATACAGAGAAAGAAAGGGAGTAAATACTCCCAGCAAACTTAGAGGTATAGAATCATTAAATGTTAATAAACTTGCAGGCATGTCAGAAACCATTTAGATTTGCTTCATGAATCCAGGCATTCAACAGCAAAACTGTCAAATTGTAGATGTTGAGAAAGTTGGGTTTTTTAAACAGTTGCAAGGTTCTCTATGGATAGATAAATAGGTAGCAATGTTTATTGAATGCTCACAGTGTGTCAGGCACCCTGCTAAGAAATTTACATGTATTATTTCATTTTTTTCCCAATAATCTCTTGTGAGTAGTTATTAGTATTATTCCCATGTACAGTTAGGGAAACTGAAGTGTAGAGAGATTAAATAACTGCCCAACTTTATGCTATTAACAAGTACGGGAACTGGCATTTAAACCCAGTTTAGTCTGACCTTGGAATCCAAGCTCATAATCACTCTCCTCTACTACCTCTCTATCTATAATAAATCTATGTTTATAATTAGTAATTGCAAATATCCACAAAAGCTTCAAAGTGAAGATCATCTTAGCATGATAGTTATCCCCTATTTACATGGGGATAATAATAGTACTGGCTTTGTAACATTTTTACAAGGATTAAGTTCATTAATGTTATGTGTTTAAAATAGTGCCTGGCAACATAGCAAGCACTTGGTAAATGTTGGATATCATTATTCTCCTTAATGAAGTATTCAACTTGTACATGAGAATTTGTTGGCACAACATCCAGATAAACTCTCTATAGCAGGGAACAACTCCCCTGCACCCCTGCACCCCTGCACCCCCCCATTCCTCCAAGACAGTTAATGATTTAAACCTAGTCTTAAATACAAACAAATTTAAAAGTCAATAGCAAACTTCTTATGCTTTTCAATATCCATGATAACACAGATTTGCATATAAAAAGAGAAATTGGCTTTATAAGATCATTCATTAATATCCCATCATTTAAAGTGTTTGATATGTATAGACATTATATTCATTGCCCTAAATTGTTATTACATATGAGAATGACCTTAAGAATATGACAGTATTCTTATGTAATTTAATTTCATGTTTTAATTAGAGAGAAGCGGTTACAGGAATGGAAAGCTCTTAAGAAAAAACAAAAATTTGGAGAATTAAGAGAAATTTCTGGAAATCAGTATGTGAATGAAGTCACAAATGCAGAAAAAGATGTGTGGGTTATAATTCATCTATACAGATCAAGGTAAGATCATAGTATTTCAAAATGTTAATATACTACTATTTTAAAAGACATATTTTTGGTTTTAAGATTTTACAAAGCATATGACAGTACTCAAGAAAAAGCAACTATATATTACACACATATACATCCATAGAGTTTTTGATAGTCATCGGCTTCAGGGATTAAATTAGGTATTTTAAGATCCTTTCATTTCTAATTTCAGGAACTTGTCACACTTTTTAGAAAAATAAGCACTCTTTGGTAGTGTTGTTAAAAATTTTTTATTCTAGAAAATCTCAAAAATACAGAGAAGTAGAAAGAATGAGAAAATGAACACTCTAAATATCAACCATATAGATTCAACAAGTAACCTTTTGCCATATTTATATAATTGTATCTGTGTGTGTGTATATTTGCATTTGTAGAAAGTAAACTGAAAGTAAACTGACCATAGCATGATGCTTTATTCCTGTGTACTTCAGCATGCATCTTCAAAACATAAAGGTGTTGGAAAGAAAAAAAAGTTCTATTTCCTCTACCCATTTTAGGTTTATTGGCTGGGATCCTACAAATTGGACTGACAAAAGACAGGTTAACAAGAGAAAAACAAACAGAAGCCTATTAACAAGTGCATTACACATACACATAGGAGAGCTCAGTGATAAGTAACTCAAAGTGGTGGTTAGAGCTTGGGCTTATATAGTCTCTTAACAAAAGAATGGCAAATTTATAGAGATGTGATAAGACAACAGAAAGGGTCTTTGAGCTTCTAGGAATAACAAACTGTGGGATGGTAAATACATGGGTGAAACTATGTATTCAACTTGTTGAATCTATATGGTCAATATTTAGAGTGTTTGATTTAATAGAAATTAAAGGTTGTTTTAGCAAGGTTTGTTATACAGATTCCTCTGGTGCCTCACTGGGATGATAAGAATCTAGAGCTTTATCCAGTGATTAAGAGTGTCCTCCCCTTCCTGGTAGAGACAAGAGTGAGGATGTTACTGGGTGGAGAATATTTTTCTTGTGTTTGTTTCTTTTCAGTTGTCTTTAGCTCAAAATAATCCTTATGCCAGAGTGGCTTATTTTGGTGTGGCATATTATGAATCCCTGCAAGAACATTCTTCTACATAACCACAATACCATTTTTTCACTTAACAAAATTAACAGTAATTCCTCATACCATCTAATACCACGTCCTTACTCAGATTTTCCCAAGTGACTTAAAAATGTCTTTTATAAATACATATGTTTTGGACAAGGAGTCAATCAAGAATTATGCAGCACATTTAGATATATCAGCTCTCTTAAGTCTCTTCTAGTAGAACAATTCCCCTGCACCCCTATACTCCCCCATTCCTCCAAGACAGTTAATTTAAAAATATACCTGGTGGTACTAGGTATAATCCACTGTTGCTAGGCCTCACCAGCCTTGCCTAGTAAATAGGGAAAGTAGACTTTTCCCCAACTCTGTTTCTCTCATTCAAACAGTCCTTCTAGCTTTAGGTCCCTACCCCTCTGCCTCAGAGCTATAAACCATTCTAGGAACAGAGCCCATGACAGCAACCTTCACTGTCCTTATTTCAATCTCTGAATAATAATTTTTTTTTTCTCTTTAGGTCCTTGGGGAAATTATGTACAGAGCATTTATGCAAATTATAGCCCTGTATATAACCCTGTGTAGCCTGTATGGGGCTATACTTTGCAGTTCCTGAGTTGAACTTTGACAGGACAACATGCCCCATAAAAGAAAACGCCCCATAAAAGTTATTTTATTATAACTAAAACTCTTGGTAGATTAATTTTTAGGTAGCTTTAAAGTTTTTAAAAGAATGTGTTGACCTAAAAGGAAGAGGCTGAGGCACAAAATATAATTTAAAGAGTTTACTTGAGCCAAAGTGAGGATAGCTGCCCAGAAGACTAAACCCAAGTAACCTTGGATATGATCTCCCTTTAGCCTTTGTTATGAGCAGGTTTGTGAAGACATAAAAGGGGGACAGGGAGTGGACTAATACAAAGCTGTTTGTCAGGAATTCTCTTTGGCTTAAGGAAATGACATTGATTAGTGATTGGCTATCCATTGTTAAACTATGAAAATTACAGTGTCTGATGTATTATTGGGTTGATTTATAGCTACTTGCAAGCAATAGCAAGCAGTTTCAAGAGAGGAATGCATAGGTGAAGGAGGGAGTAGGTTGTAATTCTCTCTTTTTATTTTTGATACAGGGTCTCACTGTGTTTCCCAGGCTGGAGTGCAGTGACGATCGTAGCTTAATGCAGCCTTTAATGCTTGGGCTCAAGCAATGATCCTCCTGCCTCAGTCCTCCAAGTAGCCTGGACTACAGGTCTGCACTACCACATCTGGCTAATTTTTAAAATTTTTTCATCGAAATGGGGTCTTGCTATGTTGCCCAGACTGGTCTCGAACTCCTGGCCTCAAGTGATCCTCCTGCCTCAGCCTCCCAAAGTATTGAGATTACAGGCGTGAACCACTGTGCCTGGCTTGCTGTCTCATTTTAATGACTCCGTGGGTGTAAATGTTTAAAAGGACTTGCATTCTTCAGAGAAAAGTTATTTCCTGAAATCACACTTCCATATTACCTATACTATTTATTTGGTTAACCAGTTTGTAAATGCTGCTTGTAGGTCTCACAGATAAGGATGAGAAACACTGACATTTATAAAACAGGTATCTGTTTGTGGTAAATATTATATACTGAAGTGGTTTACTGAATGTTTTTCTGACCCTGTGTGGTTAGCAGAGTAGATATTGCTTCTAAGTAAAATTATCTAGTTTAATGGTTATTTCCATATAAATTACTAGTTTTTAGAAATAATTTTAAAAAATTCATAAAGAGGTTGCATGTGTTTTAGTCTGCTTCAAATTGTCATATGCTTTGATAGACTCAAAAAGAAGGATGTGGTTTCATAATATTTTAAGTATTTGTGACCTTCTCAGAAGGTTTTTCTGGACCACTCTAAAGTAGTTACATATTAGATTTCTGGACATTAAGAAAATACATTCCTGGGGCTGGGTGCCGTGGCTCACACCTGTAATCCCAGCACTTTGGGAGGCCGAGGCAGGCGAATCACTTGAGGTCAGCAGTCAAAGACCAGCCTGGCCAGCATGGTGAAACCCCATTTCTACTAAAAATACAAAAAAAAAAAAAAAACAAAATATGTTCCTGTGTTGGTATAAAACATATATTTTGAAAATTAATCTGTAATAATCCAAATTTATAAAATATAACAGAAAATAATTGTGTTATAAATATTCCTTAGAAAACTTTAGTTTTTAACAATGGAATTAGTGGCCAGGCTTGGGGCTCATGCCTGTAATCCCAGCACTTTGGGAGGCTGAGGTGGGCAGATCACCTGAGGTCAGGAGTTTGAGACCAGCCTGGCCAACATGGCAAAACCCTGTCTTTACTAAAGTACAAAATATTAGCCGGGCATGGTGTCGTGTCCCTATAATCCCAGTTACTTGGGAGGCTGAGGCAGGAGAATCACTTGAACCTGGGAGGCAGAGGTTACAGTAAGCTGAGATCACATCATTGCGCTCCAGCCTGGGCAACAGAGCGGGACTCCATCTCCGAAAAAAAGGATTTACGTACAGCTTTTTAATATTATAAAGTTGAAGGACAGCTGTTAATTTATGTTTTTGTAACCACCCAATGGGGTTCATTTTGCCTGCTGCCCACATAGAGCCAATTTATCAAGACAGGGGAATTGCAATAAAGAGTTGAATTCATGCAGAGCCGGTTGAACAGGAAACCAGAGTTTTATTATTACTCAAATCAGCCTCCCCCAAAATTTGGAGGCTGGAGTTTTTCAAGGATAGTTTGCCAGACCACAGAATGGGTACTGCTGATTGGTTGGGAATGCAATCATAGGGATGTAGAAAATGATCCTTGATATGGTTTGGCTGTGTCCTCACTAAATCTCATCTTGAACTGAATTTCCCATAATCCCCATTTGTCGAGGGAGGGACCTGGCGGGAGGTAATTTAATCATGGGGGCAGTTACCCTTATGTTGTTCTTGTGATAATGAGTGAGTTCTCTTGAGATCTGATGGCTTTATAAGGGGCTTTTCCCCTTCTGCTCAGCACTTCTCATTGCTGCCACATGTGAAGAAGAATGTGCTTGCTTCCCCTTCTGCCATGATTGTAAGTTTCCTGTGAGTCAGTTAAACCTCTTTCCTTTATAATTACCCAGCCTTGGGTATGTCTTTATTATAATGCAGCATGAGAATGGACTAATACAGTCCTCATGCGGGCTAAGTCTGCTTCTGTATGGGGCCACAGGACCGCTTGGTGGGTCCAGGTAGAGGCATCAGTCATCAGAAGTGCAAAAACCTTAAAAGATGTATCAAAAAGGCCAATCTTAGGTTCTACAATAGGGTTGTTGTCTGCAGGAGTAATTGAGGAAGTTGCAAATCTTGTGACTTCCAGAATAATGGCTGGTAATTGTTTAAGTGTGTATCTTAGCAGAATTCAGGCTCCTCTCATCCTCCTAACCTAGTCTTCGCTTAGCTTTTACAAAGGTGGTTTAGTTCTGGGGAAAAGCTATTATCATTTAAACTATAAACTGAATTTCTCCCAAAGTTAGCTTGGCCCAAGTCCAGGAATGATTCTGGGCAGTTTGGAGGTTAAAGAGAAGATGGGGGTTGGTTAGATCACATCTCTTTCACTGTCATAATTCTCTCACTGTTAAAGTTTTTGCAAAGGTGGTTTTATTTTTAGCTACTTTCTTTCAGTTTTATAAAAAGGTGGTGTGTGTTTGTTGATTAGACTCCTAAATTCTATGATTTCAATGCCTCCTTGCCATTAAATTGATAGGATTAGACCCACTTTTTATCCAAATGAAGGCTTACCCTCCTTAAGGTGCTTTAGAGCGATCTAACTCAACCTGGGCCAGTAAGCCTGATGATTTAGCTTTAAGTCAGTCTTGTTTCTGGTTTTATTTAATCTTATGCCTGTACCCCAATTCTAATTTGGGGCTTTTATATTATTCTTATACCCAAGTGCATATTTTGAAGCTTGAATATCATAAATAGGCTCTTAACTTGCTTTGTGATGTTACTGGTCTGCCTCATATTTTACAGCTCTTCTGGGGTTAAAATTCTGGCCCTCAGCCCCAACACCAAATTTTTTCTCCTACTGCTTGCTGTCAGAACTTTCTTCGGGTAACCCTTTCTCCCTGCATCACAATCTGTTATGCAATATTCTCTTAAATCTATACTTTTCACTGCCACCACCAATACCTACCTGCCTTTTGCCATTCACACTACTGATCCATCCCACAAATATCTGTTGTACCACTGACTGAGCTTTCATTCTGATAAAATTTCTAATGAAAATTATAAAATTTCTCTGAATTAGATATTAGTGGACTCATTTCACCTTGAAGAAAATCAAAACATTTTACTCTAAGATATACTTTCTTGACATATTTTGAGGTGGGTGTTCAGAGAGCCAACAAAACTGAAGTAACCCCTTAAAGCCGTCTTTTGTGGAGATTTGCAACTGTAGAGAAAATCTGCATTCATGCAGTCAGGCCTTCTCTGAGGGCCTTCCCTTGTCTGACCTAGGACCAAGTTAACTGAGAATCTGATGCCTTTAAAGGTCTAAAAGAAACATTTACCATCTATTCTCTTTAAGGGCTGCTACCTGTAAGGTTTCATCTACATAACAAGACCACTTTTGCTAGCCAGGCCTCCTCTTCTCTGCCTCCCATAGCCTGTCTTGTCACTGTAACCTGATTTACCCCAATAACACGTTTTTGGTCATGCCAGAGCCTCCATTCTTTCTGTAGCCTCAAGATGGCATATAAGCTTCTGTACCTCATTGGAGGGTTTGGGTAATCACTTTGTGTTTCCTCTCTCATGTGCATGTTAATAAACTTGTGTGCCTTTTCTCCAATTAATCTGCCTTTTGTTAGTTGATCTTTCAGTGAACCTTCCTTCGGAGGGCAAAGAAATTTTCCCTTGGCCCCTAAAACCTTTCATTTTTTAGTAGAGACGGGGTTTCACCATGTTGGCCAGACTGGTTTTGAACTCCTGACGTCAAAAGGATCTGTCTACATTGGCCTCCCAAAGTGCCGGGATTATAGGCTTGAGCCACTGCACCCGGCCCAAATTGAGTATGTTTATGTAAAATGGAGAAAGAGTCTTTGGAGAAGGAAAGATGAGAAAACAGGAAAAGAGGGAAGCAGAATAACCAACAAAGGTCCCAAGGGAGATGGAAGGAATGTAGAATAAAGTAGAGGTGAAGAGATTCACTTGAAAGTTTGATAAAATGGGAGAAAAGGAACTAATTGATCAATGAGAGTATGATGAGAATTAAGTGATAAAGCAGGAAGAACTGAGGTTGTGGTCACACTTCCAATCAATATTAAATTTCTGGTAAGGAATAGTTCTGGATAATGGGGCCACCAGAATGTGACATGGAGTGGGATTCCAAAGACTGTGGGAGAAGTTTGTTGGAGTCAGGAAAGACAGTTCTGGATATGGTAAACTCATTACATGGAAAGAAGCTGGTGATGGCAACAAGAGTTGGGATCCTTTTGTTTCAACTCAGAACTGCAAAGGATTTCCTAGAAGTGTCCTGTTTTTGTTTTTGTTTTTTCTATAAACTGGGAACCTGCTTGAACCAAACTGATGCTCAGTTGGATGTAGTTTCCTTAAGTTAAGCATCAGCTTGCCTGGTAGCTAGCTTCATTCCCAGGCTATAATGGTGCTTGCAATAAAACCAGAGGACTCTACATACAGTTCATCATTGCTAAAGGTAACAATAGAGGATGATAATAACATGTTTTTATATTAATCTAAGATTTATTTTTGCCATGGCGATATTTTACTTATTTCATTAGACTGAGATGAGTAGTCCGTTTATTAAAGATTGTGTGTACTGTTTCTCTTTTTAGCATCCCAATGTGTTTGTTGGTTAACCAGCATCTTAGTCTTCTAGCAAGAAAGTTTCCAGAAACTAAATTTGTTAAAGCCATCGTGAATAGCTGTATTCAACACTACCATGACAATTGTTTACCAACAATTTTTGTTTATAAAAATGGTCAGATAGAAGCCAAATTCATTGGAATTTTAGAATGTGGAGGGATAAATCTCAAGCTGGAAGGTAATGTTACAAATTTTGTTTATAAAAATGATAGGTGAAAACATCCAGAAACTAACAAGTATCCTAAAAGTTTTCTTCCTTTGTACCAAGGTTTTTTCCTTGCTTTTAGTCTCTTTTTATATGCCTCCAGATTAATTTTCCTATAGTAATACTCTAATAACAGCCCCTTGCTTAAAATCCTTAATAGTTCTCTGTCTCAAGTAAGTTAAAAATTTAGAATCTTCTCCTTTAGAATGTCCACCCACCTCTCTAACTATATTGCTCAGTGCTTTCTAGTTTCTGTTCTTGTTAGGCTGGTCTTCAGCCACTACTAGGCTGGTCTTCAGCTACTACTAAATATACGTTAACTCATTTGTGCCATCACACTTTTTTACACATTCTCTGCTTGTACCTAACGTATTCTACCTTTCCCTGTTCTCCATATCCAAACTTTATTCCTACATGAGTCTGCTCTATTTTTATTTACTGCATTATGTAATATTGAACCAATTCATAATCTTTTTCTTCTCTACTGAATTTCTATAGTGTATATTCAATGCATCTTACTTTTCACTTATTAGCATGATAGCTAATTTTGTTGATGAATCAATCCGCTTTGAATTTTATCTTCCTAAAAATTGCAGGGACCATGCCTCCTATTACTTTATTTTTCTTAGCACACAGCACAAAACTTTCTATTTTTATCTTCTTTAATTGTTTTTACTTCCTAAGGTCATTTCTTTGATACATTCATTTTTTGGCAGTGCTTTAACTCTATTTTACAAAACTAAAAATCATTTTCTCTCACCACTGTGTTAAAGCCATCATGAATGGCTGTTTTCAGTTTTTGTTCTTTTGTTTGTTTGTTTGTTTTTGAGACGGAGCCTTGCTCTGTCACTCAGGCTAGTGTGCAGTGGCATGATCTCGGCTCACTGCAACCTTTGCCTCCTGGGTTCAAGCAGTTCTGCCTGCCTCAGCCTCCCGAGTAGCTGGGATTACGGGTGCCCACCACTATACCTGGCTAATTTTTGTAATTTTTAGTGGAGATGGGTTTTCGCCATGTTGGCCAGGCTGATCTTGAACTCCTGACCTCGGGAGATCTGCCCTCCTCAGTCTCCCAAAGTGATGGGATTACGGATGTAAGCCACTGCGCCTGGCCGGTTGGTTTCAATAGGTATTCTTTCACTCTGTCAGTCCCCCCAAATTGTTTTTGGCCTTACCGAGACCTCTGACACTTTAATTTTTCCAGAAGTTTCCCATTTTTCTTTTAGTCTTCTAAGGCCTTTCCTTGTTTTACCACCTGTTTTTGTAGCTTGGATCTTTTCTTTTTAATTAAAAAAATTAATGACATAAGAGTACATAAAAGAATACATAGAATAATCATATAGTAAGCATTCATGAAATCATTATTGTCTTCTCTGTTTGGGATGCTATAATAAAAATACTATAAACTGGGTGGCTTATAAACAAGAAACTTTATATTAATATCTCACAGTTCTGGAGGCTGGGAAGTCCCAGATCAAGGCGCCAACAGATTTGGTGTTTTATGAGGACCTGTTCTTCATAGATGGTGACCTCTTCATTGACCTCACGTGGTAGAAGGGGCAAACAAGCTCCTTTTGGCCTCTCTGTTCACTCATTCCATTGAAGAGTGCTCTGCCCTCATGGTCTAATCACTCCCAAAGTCCCCACCTCTTAATACCATCACCTTGGGGATTAGGATTTCAACATATGAATTTTGGGGGGACACAAACATTCAGGACCATAGTAATTACCAAAAGTAACAAATGTGAACATTTGTTTATGCTTGCTTCAGCTGTTTATTTGAGATAGCATCTCACTCTGTCACCCAGGCTGGAGTGCAGTGGCACAATTATGGCTCACTTGCAGCCTTGACTTCTCAGGCTCAAGTAATCCTCCCACTTTAGCCTCCTGAGTAGCTGGGACTACAGGTGCCAGCCACCACACCTAACTATTTTTTTAACAAAATTTTGTAGTAGAGATGAGGTCTCACGATATTGCCCAGGTTGGTCTCAAACTCCTAGGCTCAAGTAATCCTCCCACATTTGACTCCCAAAGTGCTGGGATTACAAGCATGAGCCACCATGCCTGGCCTGTTTGCTTATCTTTTAAAAACACATTACAGATAAAGTTGAAATTACCTGTATTTCATACTTAGTCCTGTTCCCCTCCCTGCTTCCTTAGGGGCAAAAACTATCAAGAATTTAGAGTGTATCTCGTCCCTTTATTTATTTAATTTTTTTTTGAGAGGGAGATATCAATGACATTTATTGGTGTATTTTAAACATTGTAGTAGAATATGTGTAATATAACATTTACCATCAACTATTTTTAAGCATACAGTTCAGTGGCATTAAGCACATTCACATTCCATCACCATCATCTCCAGAAGTTTTTTTTGTCTTACATAACAAACTCTGTACTCATTAAACAAAAACTCCTTGGTCTCCAGTTGCTTCAGCCCAGGCAATCACCTTTTTAAGATTCTGTCTCTATGAATTTGATAGCACTTGATACCTCATATAAATGGAATCATATAGTATTTGTCCTTTGTGATTGACTTATTTCACTTAGCATAATGTCCTCAAGTTTCATCCATGTGGTAGCATGTTATCAGAATTTTTTTCCTTTTAAAGTATATCTTGAGTATCCCTTCATCTGTTGATGGAGACTTAGGTTGTTTTCACCTTTTGGCTATTGTGAATAATGCTGTTATGAACATATGTGTACAAATAATATGCTTATCTCCATTTTTAATTATTCTGGGAATATACACAGAAATGGAATTGCTAGATGATATGATAATTCTATTTTTAATTTTAGGAGAAACTATCTGGTCTATATTGTTATGCTTTAACTTAAGTATATCTATAGAAATAGAAGGAATAATTAATTGCAAAATCGAAAGTACTTAATAAAGGGCATTATATTGTAATATCATTCTGCAACTTGCTTTTTTAAAAATCTCAATCATAGTATTCAGAATCTCGTTTATTTCATATATGTCTGATTCAATAACTTTATCTCCTGTCTAGCATTCTATAATCAGCTATTCCTCAATTTATCATTCCCCTATTGTGAGAAATGTGAGTTGTTTCCAATTTTCCCATTATGAACAATTCTGTTGTGACAATTGTTGTGTCCACCTGTAAAAATTTCTCAAGGATATATGGAGAATTGTGGGAATATAGGGTATACACATTTTCAACTTCACTTGATAGTTGATAGATTGCTCTATAAATGGAAGTATCAATTTATCCTTCCATCTGTGTTTAAAGATATATGCACATCTTCACCACTTCTTGTTAATTTTAGACTGTTGGTTTTTTGGTCAATCTGATGGATATGAAATGGTATCATTTCATTGTTTAAATGTGGATTTCCCTCATTACAAGTGAGGTTATGGATTTTTTCATATGCATTGCTCATTCTGATTTCCTCTCCTATTTATATACTTTGTCCATTTTGTCATTTGTGTTTTTTTCATTGATATAAGAGTGTGTATGTGTGCATATGTTGTTTCATTGACTCGTAAGAGTGGGTATGTGTGCATGAGTGTGTGTGTAAAGTTCTGGATACTATTTTTATAGTATTACTAATATATTCTCACCAGTTATGGCTTATCATTTCATTTTGATTGTCAGATAAAAGTTATGATTTGGCATAGTGAAAATTATTAATCTTTTTCTTTATTGTGCACTTTTTGTGCTTTCTTTTCAAAACCCTTCTGTATTCCCAAGGTGAAAAATATATTCTTCTATACTTTCTTCTAAGAGTTTTAAATTTTTATTTTTGAGCTTAGGTCTTGAATAACATTGGGCTTTTCTTTTGTGTATGATTTGATGTAAGGAATTGTATTAGTCTATTTTCACGCTGCTAATAAAGACATACTTGAGACTGGGTAATTTATAAAGGAAAGAGGAGGTTTAATTGGCTCACAGTTCAGCTGGCTGGGGAGGTTTCAGGAAACTTACAATCATGACAGAATGGGAAGCAAGCATGTTCTTTTTCACATGGCAGCAGGAAAGAGAAGAATGAGAGCCAAGTGAAGTGGGGAAAAAGCCCCTTATAAAACCCATCAGATCTGGTGAGAACTCACTCAGTATCAAGAGAACAGCATGGAGATAACAACCCCCATGATTCAATTACCTCCCACCCACAATACGTGGTGATTATGAGAACTACAGTTCAAGATGAGGTTAGGGTGGGGACATAGCCAAACCATATCAGGAATGTATCTACTTTTTTTCTGTAAGAAAATGCAACTGTTTCAACACCATTTATTAAAATTTCACTTCACTCTTTTTCTTTTTTTCTTTTTTTTTTTTTTTTTGAGATGGAGTCTTGCACTGTTGCCCGCACTGGAGTGCAATGGCACGATCTCGATCTCGGCTCACTACAACCTCTGCCTCCAGGGTTCAAAGCGATTCTTCTGCCTCAGCCTCCTGAATAGCTGGGATTACATGTGCCTGCCACCATGCGCAGCTAATGTTTTCTTTTCTTTTTTTTTTTTTTAGTATTTTTAGTAGGGATGGCGTTTCACCATGTTGGCCAGGCTGATCTCAAACTCCTTACCTCAGGTGACCCGCCCACCTCAGCCTTTCAAAGTGCTGGGATTACAGGTGTGAGCCACCACACCTGGCCAGCTTGTTTAATTTTATAGGCTCACAGCTGGAGGGAAATGTACCTCAGTATGAATTGTGTCTTAAGTCTTTCCTGTATCTGATTTAGATGAGACTGTGGACTTTTGAGTTGATGTTGGAACAAGTTGAGACTTTGGGGGCTACTGGGATAGAATGAATGTATTTTGCATGTAAGAGGACATGAATTTTGGGGGCTGGGGTGGAATGGTATGATTTGAATGTGTGTCCCAAAATTAGTAATCCCCAATGCAACAGTGTTGAGAAGTGGGACCTTAAGAGGTGATTAGGTCATGAGGTCTCTGCCCTCATGAATGGATTAATGTCATTATTGCAGAGTGGGGTTGTTGTCATGAGGATGGGTTTGTTTTAGAAGTGAGTTCAGCCCTCTCTTGTTGTCTCTCATTCACCTTCTCTAACTCACTTGAATTCTGCCATGGGATAACCTCAGCAAGAAGACCCTCACCTGATGTAGGCCCCTCAACCTTATACTTCCCAGCCTCCAGATGTATAAGAAATAAATCTTGGTTCTCTATAAATTACTCAAGTCTCAGGTATTCTTTTATCACAAAACAGACTAGGAACCAGTTTAACCATAATTTCTCCCTTTAAGTATAACTTTGCTATATCTAATGTGTATTTTGATATTGTAGCACTTTTACTGTCAACCAGTTCTAAAGATACCAGGCTGGGTGTGATGGCTTACACCTGTAATCCCAGCACTTTGGGAGGCTGAGGTAGGGGGATCACTTGAGGTCAGGAGTTCGAGACCAGCCTGGCCAACATGTTGAAACCCTGACTCTACTTAAAAAGTACAAAACTTAGCTGGGTGTGGTGGCATGCACCTGTAATTGCAGCTACTCAGGAAGCTGTGGCATGAGAATCGCTTGAACCTGGGAGGCAGAGGTTGCAGTGAGCCAAGATGCACTCTAGCCTGGGTGACAGAGTGCGACTCTGTCTGAAAAAAGAAAAAAAAAAACTATAACTAAATATATCATCATTTCCATGGTAATATTACTAAGAGTCAACTCCTATTTCATATAGATGAAAAATTATTCATTTTTTCAAGATTTTTAACTGACTTAATGATGGGTTATTTATTACAGAACTTGAATGGAAGCTAGCAGAAGTTGGAGCAATACAGACTGATTTGGAAGAAAACCCCCAAAAAGACACTGTAGATATGATGGTATCTTCAATTAGAAACACTTCTATTCATGATGACAGTGATAGCTCCAACAGTGATAATGATACCAAATAGAGAGAAATATTCAGTAAATAGCTTTTAGTATATGTGTACTGAATGTTTTACTTATGACTGCTTTTATAATTAGGGATCAGAAAATTCATGAACAGATTTATTTTATTTTCATTTTTATATTAGAATTATGGCATATATGTCATTTAAAAATTTTTCAGGCATTTCAGAATATTCATTGCCTCTGAGAAAAATAGAATTTGGCAGCCAGGCATGGTGGCTCACGCCTGTAATCCCAGCACTTTGGGAGGCCAAAGTGGGCAGATCACCTGAGGTCGGGAGTTCGAGACCAGTCTGACGAACATGGAGAAACCCCGTCTCTACTAAAAATACAAAAATTAGCTGGGCATCGTGGCACATGCCTGTAATCTCAGCTACTCGGGAGACTGAGGCAGGCGAATCGCTTGAACCCGGGAGGCAGAGGTTGCGATGAGTCAAGATTGCGCCATTGCACTCTATGTTGGGCAACAAGAGTGAAACTCCATCTCAAACAAAACAAAACAAAAAACAAAACAAAACAAAAAACAAAACAAAACAGAATTTGTATTAAGCCCTTAGTATTTTTCTGTGGTTTATCCTTTTTCTAACTCATGTTGGACAAAAACACAAATATTACAAGACCTTTCTTGCTTACTCACTTCCAAAGAGAACTACGAATGAAAGCAATGAAAGAAAACCATAAAATTTTATTTAAGTCAACACATTTTAAAATCTAGAGACTTAAGTAAAAAGTTTTAAATTTATGACCATAAAGCTTTTTCTTAGAAATCTCTTACCTATTAAAACATTAACCACTTAATAGCATAATGCAATTAATAGATTTTGAAAAGTACATAAAAAATCTGTATTCATTATTATTGTTCTGAGTAGTTACTATCAAGTTAGAAAATTACTGAGTATTCTCATTAATAGTTAAACTATAGAATCATTAGAACACTACACCATGTAAGTTTCTAAATCCTGAGCAGAGGTGAGAAAAATATATTGTAGGATGACCTATGTTTTAACAGTAATCACAGAAGAATTCATCATGAGAAAATATACATTAGTACACTGCAGAAGGCCTATAGGATGTTTCATCTTGGCATAATAATGAACATCACTTTTAGAGGAAAGGTTGGTAAATCCAGCATATAATAGTTCAGTAACAGATTTTTTTCTACTTTGTTTGTATTTGTGATCCATAATTCTCATTATGGATGTTCACTGATACTTGTGAGAGAATCTAGACTAGGTTTAAATGCCTAGATCACAAAAATGAATTGGTGAGAATTGAGGCAGTTGAAGATTGAGTCAAGAAAAGGCTCTTGCTATTTAGGGATCTTAGAGGCTACAGAGAACCATGAAGTGGAAGGAAAGTTAAATACACATTTGGGTAAGGTAATAAGAGTTTATTTCACCAGGTAAAAATCAATTGATCTAATTCTGGGAAGGATTAGGAAAATTCTTCTGAGATAGTAAATATACATCTTGAGACTAGATGGAGGAAAGTTCAGAGAGGTCACACACAGTGGTCTTTATTATAGCATTACATACACATGTCAGAGAGGTAATTACCTAGTTTTATTTATCCAATTCCTGAACCTTCCAGAAATGAATGGGTAAGTTACTATTCAGGATAAAAACAGCTGTGGAAATGAAAGGAAGAGCCATCTTCTACAGTTACAATGTAACTCTAATGCCATCTAATGCATATAACCATATTTATCAAAATAACTTTCATATACATTATTTTTCCCTCCAATTGAAACCAAATGCAGAAAGTCCCCCTAAATGAAGTCTTTTAAAAAGTAAATACATATTTATCTGTTTTCTTTTTAAAGTTAAAATAACGAAATAATAATAGTATTTAGGAGAGCTTAAAAAAGATATCTATTTCCCTTTGTCTTAACTCAGATCCACCAGGTGGCAGTAAGTTTTTACCCACAAACAGTTCTGAAGACTAACATTTGTGAAAATAATAAAAGTATATCATGTTAGAACTGGCTGCTTGTGATTCCGGCCCCGCTCTTTAGCAAAGTGCACGCACACATTCTTTTAGCAAGGACTGATTGATGCCTACCAACACAGGTCACTACTACTTCCATACACTGCTTCATGTATACATTCTCATTTGACTAGGGTAAAAATATTTGTCAGGATATGCAGAAATTATTTAATATGTAATATTGTTCCCCATTTTACTGAATGAATATTCAATGGGGTACAAAGTTTTTTTAATTGCCAATCAATATTCAGTCATTTTTTGATCTATAAAAATTGATATTTTATCCTAATATTTTTGTCTATTCTTGCCAACTGTGCTGTATTGAATCTCCCTTCTCTATAGTGCCCTTTTTGTCAAAATGTGGTAAATGTGGTCCTAGAATCAGCAGGATTCCTAAGGAGCCTGTTAGAAATGCAGAATCTCTGGCCCCATCGCAGACTAACTGAATCATAATTTTCATTTTAATGAGATCTCCAGGTGATATGCACATTAAAATTCAAGAAGCACTAGGCAACAAATCCTTTAAAGGCAACCTGAGCATCTTCTTTTACCCATTCCACAGTGTGGGTTATTAAGTCTGTCTAGTTGAACACTCCAGTGTCAGTTCCAAGCAAACATTCTCTGGCTGAACTTGTGACTTAAGGAACTCTGAAGATGAAAGGTGGGGTTTTTAACCAGTTTTTCCCTCTCCTTTTGAGGCAGGAGAATAAGGTCTAGAGGCAGGGAACCTAAGGCTGTTTCACGCCACCTTCCTAGAGCTAGAGTTAAAGGAAAACTCTTAACTTTCCATGCCTAAGTAACAAAAGGAGCAGAGGCTACTTTGCAAACCCCGACCTTTTGTGCCTGGCAGATGGGAAATTGGCTGTCCGCAATCAATCAGACTGATTGCCTGCTGAGGGTTCTTTTGCAACTTTGTAACTTCACCTCAGCCTCTGATTGGTGCAAGCCACCACTTCATGAAATGAAGTGGCCAATAGGAAGCCTCTAGGGGGTATTTGGACCGGAGAAGATTCTGAGCCACTGCTCATGCCTGCTCCCACACTGTGAAGTGTACTTTCATTTTCAATAAATCCCTGCTTTGGTTCTTTAGTTATTCTGTCTTTACTTTGCTGGGCGTTTTGTCCAATTCTTTGTTCAAAACACCAAGAACTTGGACACCTTGCAGTCAAGACCCTCTACCAGTAACACTTTCAGGGCCTATCCCTCTTCTGTTGGGGACTGGGAGAGAGAACAGGGATGAAAGGGATAAATTTCCCTTAACTGTACAATGAATACTGCATCCAAATTGTTCACTCTTTAATGGGGCACGTTGAGTTCTCCTAGAAACTCTGAAACAGCTTCCCAACTGCACAGTCCCTTGATTGACATGAGAGATGGACCAGTCTTAGCTGTATCTCTGCTAACTCTCTTAGTTTCCTCTCCTAGAAGTAAATCCAGCCTCTTGCTACTAGAATTTCCTTCCCCCTTGGGTGTCAAGATGGTTCAAATCTGAACAGCATTTTCCACACAGCATCAATTGACACATGAGAAACTTACACAACCATGGTATCCTTGCTACACCACATGGTAGATGTTGTAGGTTGCTTTATTTCAGCCTACTCCCTGGCCAGCTATTTCTCCAACTCTTTTCCTGTTTCATGTAGGTACAAGGCAATATCAGCAAGTTTGATAGTGAATCAGATGCCACTCTCCCTCCCTCACAGTCACCTGATTCTGCTGAAGTCTTGTTCACTTGGGGTAGGGTAAGGCATAAAAAGGAAAGGAAAAACCATAGTACACACCAAGAGCCTGGCTTCAGTGATTCTCTCAGGTGTTTTTCCCTCTTGCCAAGTGTTGGGCTTATATGGTCTGAGAGTAGAGAGAGGTTTTGGCTATGGTAGATCCCTTTTTGTCCAACTTTTATCCTTGGGTGAAGGAGTGGGTATCTGACCCGAAATGTCGGCAGCTCTTTAGAAGGTGAGGTACTTCATGCACTTGTTCCTTATTTTAGATTTCAGTCAGCATCTTCTTATACAGGTATTAGCTGTACTTATTAGTGTTACATATTCTTGTTGGTTCTCAAGTATTCAATCACTAGAATAGTATTAGTCACATCATATTTCACCGACTGATTTTAGTTTGTTTCTCCTTTGTACTTTTGAGAGGTGAAGCCAGCTGGGCTTCTGGGTTTGGTGGGGACTGGGAGAACTCTTGTGTCTAGCTAAAGGATTGTAAATGCACCAATCAGCACTCTCTGTCTAGCTAAAGGATTGTAAACGCACCAGTCAGCACTCTGTAAAAACGCACCAATCAGCACTCTGTGTCAAGTTAAAAGATTGTAAATGCACCAATCAGTAGTCTGTAAAATAGACCAATCAGTGCTCTGTAAAATGGACCAATCAGCAGGATGTGGGCAGGGCCAAACAAGGGAATAAAAGCTGGTCACCTAAGCCAGCAGCAGCAACCTGCTTGGGCCCCCTTCCATGCTGTGGAAGCTTTGTTCTTTCACTCTTAACAATAAATCTTGGTGCTGCTCACTCTTTGGGTCCGCATTACCTTTATGAGCTGTAACACTCACTGCGAGGGTCTGCAGCTTCATTCCTGAAGTCAGCAAGACCACAGACCCACCAGGAGGAACAAACAACTCCGGACGCGCCACCTTTAAGAGCTGTAACACTCACTGGGAAGGTCTGCGGCTTCACTCCTGAAGTCAGTGAGACCACAAACCCACCGGAAGGAAGAAACTCCGGACACATCTGAACATCGGAAAGAACTCCAGACACACCATCTTTAAGAGCTATAACACTCACCACGAGGGTCCGCGGCTTCATTCTTGAAGTCAGTGAGACCAAGTACACATCAGAAGGAATACATTCCGGACACACTTTCATGCACATTACTAAGGCTACCCCTTGACAATAATCTGCCTACAGTCATAATTTAGGATAAAGATGATCCTAAAAATCTTCTTTCTGGCATTTCATTCACTCATTAAATCATTTATTCACCTCAGGCCTTGGTGGTTTTGTTTTGTTTTTTTGAGACTGACTTGCTCTGTCACCCAGGCTGGAGTGCAGCAG